CACATCAAGAAGCAAAGTGCAGAAAAAAAATCTCTGCTTGGTCCATGATTCTTTCTGTCTTCAGCAAATATCATTTTCAATCAAGGAACACTGACATTTAAAGGTAATTTTATAGACTTGCAGTTTTTCCTTCCTTCTTTCTTTATTTTATCATCATGTATTACTATATGAGTATATGGGTTCCTTTCATAAGATGAGAATCCCAAGGGCTCTATTTCCTTAGAACATAAATTAAATCCTAAGGCTATTTCCTTAATGTAAAATATTTAATTTTAATGAAATTTTAATGAAGTCTCCTGCCCCTGTGCCTGATTGTCCTCGCTCGCCAGGACCCCTTGGAGGGGAGAGGGTTGACCTTTCCTCCCTGCCCCGACCAGGGCTCTGGCAGCCAAAGACCTCTAGGACCAGCCACAATCATGCTGAGACCACTCTCCACACACAGGAAGGTACTGGCAGAGGGAAAAAGCCACGCGGGTTCCGGGGCCGAGATCTCCAAGCCTACTCGGATTGGGGCCGAGCATCCTCCACCCAGATCCTCCAAATTCCAGTAGGCGGGGGTCACACCCACCAACTGGCCCCCTGGCGCCGTGTAATCCCATCAGCGGCCAAGACTCAGAAACTATAAAAACCAGCTCCCGGAACCACGCAGCCGCGACATCTTACTATGACATCTTATTATCTCATTCCTACTTTGGACAAACTGGCAGGCTATCGAATGTAGCCTGCCCACACGGCAGAGTCTGGCAAACTCCCCATGGCGTACCCAATATGCCAAATACCAGTAACAATGATGGGTCTCATTCTCCTAAAGAGCCTTGAATATAATCTCATGCTAGGATGGAAGAGACGTTACTGGGTCCTGCTCGAGGCAATCGACGGATAACAGGATGATTTGTGATTGTGATTTGTGATTGTGAAATATCAAGAATACAAATTCATTTTTTATTGCAATATATCATTGCAATCCCCTATCACACACATACAGTATTTCCACATTTTTTTCCTCCACGTTGGAATCCTCTCCAAATTGCTACACATTTGATTGCCCTCTCAGAATGTTTCCATTATGATAACTGTTCATTGAACAAGATTCTAGGTTTCTAATAACCTTTACTCTTTAAAAATGCTTTTGTAGAAACCAGGAGATGCTTTAGTAGTAGGCAATGCATCTTTAGATGAAAGAAGTGAGTTTGAGTCCTGACGCTTCCTATATGTGAGAAGTATAATCCACGCAGCTTTGTAATTCAAGTTTTCCCAAATCTCTGTTCTCTGTGTTCCCCAATATCACAACCAATTTCTGGTCCTATTTTAGTCAAATAGATGCAGGTACCTCAAGTAATGAGTGTGTCGCAGACAAAGAATACAAAGGGTACATGCACCTTTGGTGAACCGAATAAAAAAAAGCTTGCAGCATGAGGCATGTCTGAACCCCATCATTACAACAACTTCAGAGGGAAGGAAAGGGGTGATATAAAAATTTAAAGAAAAATTTATCCAGTGAAATCAATGCTATTTGACAGATTATGTGCTTTAATTTATGCGATAAATTATTTCAACTCTGATTTTGATTAAAAATGTTTAAATGATTAAAAATATTGCTGCTGAATATATTACTGCGTATAATTTAAACTATCCTTTAAGATATTTAGGTAAGAAAATGTAAAACATTTTATTTTTTAAAATTTTGTTTGGTTTTGGTTTTGGGGTCACACCCAGCTATGTTCAGGGGTTACTTCTGGTTCTGCATGCAGAAATCACTCCTGGTGGCACTGAGAGACCCAGGTTCAACTCCTGGCACCTCATATGGTCTCCCAGTTTTTATTTTTCAAAATGTACAGTTGGGACGGGCTGTAGCAATAGCACATTGGGTAGGGCATTTGCCTTACACGTGACCGACCCAGGTTCAATTCCTCCTCCCCTCAGAGAGCCTGGCAGGCTATTGACAGTAACACACCTTCGTGGTAAAGCCTGGCAAGCTCCCTGTGAAGTATTCTATATTCTATATACCAAAAACAGTAACAACAAGTCTCACAACGGAGATGTTACTGGTGCCTGCTTGAATGAATCGATGAACAATGGGAGGACAGTGCTACAGTGTTTCTAATTTTTTAGCTTTTTTTATTTTTAAGGACACATTAAGTTTTCTTTTTATTATCCACATATTTCCCACTAATATATTGACATAATAAAAATGTGAAGCTCATTAATAGAATATTTATTTTGTGGTTGGAGATATAGTACAGCAGGTAAGGCATTTGTCTGGTACACAGTTGACCCAGATCAATCCCCAGCACCCAGATGTTCCTATGGGGCCCAACAGGACTGATCCTGGGCACAAAGTCAGGGGTAAGTTTTGAGTATTTCTGGGTGTGACCTAGACCCCCACTCGCAAAAGAAAACTTCATTTTGCATTGCTCATTGCTATTTGTATTCTGTTGAATTTCACGAATGTAATTTCATCTTGGTCTGAAGTCAAGGTCACAGTCCTCCCGTTGTTCATTGATTTGTTTGAGCAGGCCCAGTAACGTCTCCATTGGAGACTTTGTTGTTACTGTGTCTGGCATATCGAATATGTCATGGGGAGCTTGCCAGGCTCTGCCGTGCGAGCGAGATACTCTCAGTAGCTTGCCGGGCTCTCCGAGAGGAGCGGAGGAATCGAACTCGGGTCGGCCATGTTGGCTGCGTGCAAGACAAACACCCTACCCACTGTCCTATAGCTCCTGCTGCATTTCTCAGTACTTCAGACCAAGTTAGTCTTTATTGCCAGTTCTTAAGTCTCAAGATATTATAAAATTTATTATATGCAAGATTTTGTAATTTTAACGCAAACTTTCAGCGCTAACTTCAATAGTATTGTCCTTAGTACTTGCATATATATGTATATATACATAAATATACAACACATGTATGTTTATATGTACTTATTATGCATATGTTCATATATGAATGTAAGCTATATAATTTATAACTGATCAATTCTTGTTGATTGTGAATTAGGTCTTGTTGACCATGACTTAAGTCATGAATTCCAGAGAGAAATATCCTGATTAGACCTTATTCTATCTACTTCTTTTTCTTTTAGTTGATTCCCATCTTCAAAGGAACCAGTTATTTATGTTTTATCTTAGCTGCACTACATAAACACATATGCATAATACATTTGTTGTATAATTAGTATTGTTGTATGATTAGTACTAAAAGTCTTGTACATAATCATTGCTGCTCTCATTTACTCTAAATGACACTATTTATTCAAGGCACACTTTTCTAGTAAACCAGACATCCCAGGTAACGTGTTATAGCCTACACTTACAACTGTAAAGACAAAAAAATACAGTTTATATCCTTATTCATGTTATGCAAACTTAGTATACTGGAGGATATATAAAGTAATCACCCATTTGAGGGTTAAATGTACCATATTTCCATTTTGACCTAAACAAAAAGCACTGATGAGGCACTGATTATTCTTTCAACCTGTTTTTATTTTTCTAGACAAAAGCTATAAATTAAATGTTAATACAGATTAATTTTACATCACATTTATTTGTTGCTTTGACACACATCTGGTAATATTCAGTGCTTACTCCTGGCTCTCTACTCAGAGACCAATCCTCATAGTGTTCAGGGACCCATATCTAGTCTCAGGGGTTGAACCTGGGTTGAACCTGAGCACCTTAACTCTTGTACCCTCTCTGTGACTCTCGACATTAATTCTTGTATATCTTATTAACTTCATTATGAAGTTTAGATTTCAGGTAAAATTGAATATATCCTTATTTTTAGTGCTTAATTTTCGTTTGCCCAAAGAACAACTGCAATTTTTAATTTGAAAGGGTAACAAATAGATAAGCAAAAGTACAACATTTGCTTTGACTAGAATCTCCTCAGTTAGGAAATTCTTATATGGATGCTAAAAAGGTGACATTGATCTTGGAACATGATCAAGATTTCTAAGATATGTATATTTAGAAACAATGAGATGAGTGGGGAGTTAGTAGAGTAGGTAGTGTGCTTGCTCTGAGTGCTCTCAAACTATATTTAATCTCTGGCACCACATACAGTTCCCCTGAGCACTGCAAAGAGTGATCCTTGAGCATAGAGTGAAGAGTAAGCCCTAAACAAAGCCAGCTGTGGCACAAAGGAAACAACAATAAATAAAAGTCAGAAAAAAGTTAATAATAACTAGACCAATCCATGAACTTTGGAAAATTTAGAACAACAATAAATAGAATAATGGCTAAATCATCATCACTTTGATTTTAAATTTTTAAACATTTCAAACACTTTCAGTGCCAGCTACAAGACTATGCGGACCTTATTGCATTGAGAAGACATGAAAGGAAAATTAAATAGAACAAACATCTGAGAGGTTCCTCATAGGGATGTTCAAATGAGAAAGGAATTTAATCTTGTGCACTTGCTATAAACTATGTGAAAACCCATCCAGCCACAAAATTCTAAAGACATATTTTATACCTAAAAGTGGGTAAAAATTAAATCACACAATATTGACAGAAATACATTTACATAAATGAAATTTTAATATGCATTAGCTTGAATAGTCAATTAATGATATAAATTAACTGTATTTATAAAATGTTACATTCCTGGTGGGCTGGAGCATAGTGGGTAGGGCATTTGCCTTGCACCTGGCTGACCCAGGTTCGGTTCCTCTGTCCCTCTTAGAGAGCCCAGCAAGCTACCGAGAGTATCTCACCCTTTTGGCAAAGCCTGGCAAGCTACCCGTGACATATTCGGTATGCCAAACACAGTAATGGAGACGTTACTGAGTCTGCTCCAGCAAATCGATGAACAACAGGAGGACAGTGACAGTGACAGTGCATTCCTGGTAGATTAGAGATCTATTAAAAAATTATAGTATGTATAAGCTTTGAACTTAAACCAAAACATTTCCTTGTCTTCTTTTCTGATATGTAGATACAAGCTGATATCCAACAATATTAGCGGTTTAATGTGATGTTAAATATACATATTACTTACAAACCAATATCTCTCACCAGTTTTTTAATGGCTTCTTTTACATCTTTATTTCTGTAACTATAGATAATGGGATTCAGCATAGGGATCACGATGGTATAAAATACTGACACTACCATGTCATGAACAGAAGCATTGCCTGACCCTGGTCTAACATACGTGAAGAGAATGGTCCCATGGTATATTGACACTCCAGTCAGGTGAGAGCCATAAGTCGAATAGACCTTCCGTCTCCCTTCAGGAGAACGCATCCTCAGAATCGCCAACAAGATGAAAGCATAGGATATTAGAACAATCAAGATGGTCACTACCTCAATAGCTCCCAAAAGGTACAACAGTAAAAGCTGGTTGATGTAAGTATCGGAGCAGGAAATAGCAAGGAGTGGAGGGATGTCACAAAAAACGTGTCTGATTTCATTGGATGCACAGTAGGATAGGCTAAATGTGGCAGCTGTTTGTATAGAAGCATGCAGGATGCCGCCAATATAGGAAGCAACGATGAGTGACACATAGACCCTGGGTGACATGCTCACTGTATACAGGAGAGGGTTGTAGATGGCCACATAGCGGTCATATGCCATTGCTGCCAAGAGAAAGCATTCTGTGGTTCCCAAACCAACAAACAGAAGCATCTGTGTTGCGCACCCAAGAAAGGAAATGGTTTTATTCTCTGACAAGAAATTGACCAACATTTTGGGAGTGACGACTGTGGAATAGCAGGCATCCAAAACTGACAAAACGCTCAGAAAATAATACATGGGGTTGTGGAGTCTAGCGTCTCCAATGACTAACACAACCAGACCAAAATTTCCTATCAGAGTGAAGAGATAGATTGCAAGAAAAAGGAAAAACAGCAAGACCTGCATCACAAAATCATCTGTAAAGCCTGTTAATATAAATACCGAAACTTCAGTCCCATTTTTGAATTGAATCCTAGATAAATCTAAATCTGATGGTAACTCTGACATTTCAGATTTAATTTACTGTTTCCAGAAGAGGAATTCTGATAATTTACTTTCTCCTCAAGGTAGTCTCTGAGAAGGATGTAGTACTTTCCTCTGTAGAGATAGTTTATGCTGTTATGATGAGATTGGAATCAGTAGGATGCATTTACTAGTTTCATAAATAGAACTTATTTTGTTCATTTGGGGACTGAATTTGCCATGTAAAAATTCTGTCAGTTTAATTGGTTACTTTTTCAATTTAATTCCTCTTTTACTCCCCACCCGTATTTTCCATCACTTTACTAATTACAAGGGCAAAGACAAGTAACAATATTTCATTATAAAATTGTTAGAATGCATATTATGCGCCTGACTAGTTCCAGATTTTACACAATATTGTGAGTCTAAATATCCTTATTTGTTTAAATGAGCATAAGTACTTCTGGTCCAAACATTGGGTAAAGTTATATGACAAAGAGCAATATTTCAAATTAAAATTGTTAGAATATAGAATGTGTTCCTGAGTACTAGTTCGAGACTTTACACAATATTAGGAGTGTCTAAAGATCCATAATTACATAAATGAGCATAAGTACTTCTGGTCCAATCATAGAGCACATTTATATAAGAAACAATGCAAATCATTCAATTATAAAGTGATGCAAATATTTAGAAAACACGGTTAGTTCATCTCACATTCAACTTGTCACAGAATTGTAACAAGTGATGACGACATTTTAAAATGATGTCACACATACTCTTTCAATAACACTGTAAATCCTTTTCCCTCCAATTATCCCGTTCCAGTGACTTCCATCGTAGGGTTGTGGTGAAAAGAATAGCAGAGTGTCCTGGAGAGAAATAACCCTTGTCAGCACACTGTAACAAAAACCAGTTCAAATGCAAGATGATTTTTTTTATTCTTTATGTACATCCAGAAAATTTCAGCAAACTCATGGATGGTTTTAGGTTTTCGTTTTGTTTGTTGCTTGTCATTTTTTTTTTTCAAAACAGGTCATACAAGTTCTCCACTTTCATGCCACCGCATCATATTGAGCTGTTACTATTTTTCTTTTATTTTATAATCATAATGTAAGATATTTCTCATTACCATTGTTAGTATTTTGCCAAATTTCTTTGAACATATTTTATCTCGATTCCAGAATGTATAAGAAATGCTCATTTTTCTGGGATTATAGTTATTTATGGAGTTTATAAAACAACTGTGAAATGCACATGATCTGCTAATTGTTACTCTTGTTACTGTGTCTGGCATATCGAATACGTCACGGGGAGCTTGTCAGGTTCTGCCATGCGGGCGAGATACTCTCGGTAGCTTGCCGGGCTCTCCGAGAGGGGCAGAGGAATCAAATTCGGGTCGGCCATGTTGGCCGCTTGCAAGGCAAATGCCCTACCCAGATCTGCTAATTAATAACAAAATTATATGTAGGAGTTATTTCTGAAAATATAAAATCACTGTGTCTGTGAATAAGTACAGGTTGTGTTTGATTTCTTTGAAGTATTTTTCTTTATTATCCTCTTAGATCCTCAAACTACATTTTATTTATAGTAGATTATAGGAAAAAGGGTGAAGTAACTGCCCATTAAAATAAAAAAACACTGATGCTATTGTCATCATGTTAGTTAAACTATGAAAAAATGAAAAGACACAAAAGGAAACGAAAAGTAAATGTATAGATATGTGTTAAAGAGATAAGTGTTTCCAAACAAATCTCAAGTTATTGAAAGATTTATAAATGGTGTGAAATATGGTGTGATTTTTTTAACCTAGAAAATACTTATCACTTAAGAAAGCTGTGTGCTTTACGGCTGGAGAATTAGAACCATGAGTAAGGTGCTTTTGTTGCATCCAGCCAACACAAATTTAATCAACCCTGGCATCCTATATGGTCCTCCAAGCACAATCAGAAATAATCTCTGAACACAGTTAAGTGTGGGCCCCTAAATAAAAACAAATAGCTCTCAAAAGATGAGAAACCTCCATTGCTATTTTAACAGAAATGATAAAAAGCTCCATAAAAGAGTTTTTTTCATGTACAAAATAAAGACGTTCATCAAAGGCAAGAGACATAATACAAGTGCTTATCTGGAATGTGGCTGACTCAGGTCATGGGACCACCCATCGTCCACGAAACAGAAGGCTTGAGCTCAGAGCCAGGAGTAAGGCTTAAGTACAGCCATGTGTGGCTCAAATTCTTCACTGTCACTCTCCTCCCGTTGTTCATCAATTTGCTCTAGTCGGCCCAGTAACGTCTCCATTGTGACACTTGTTACTGTGTTTGGTGTATTGAATACATCATGGGTAGCTTGCCAGGTTTGCCAGATTGGCTATGTCGGCTACGTGCAAGGCAAACGTCCTACCTGCTGTGCTGTGTCTTTTAATATTCTATAACATAACAATTTTAAAATAAAATCTATCTTTTTAGTTAACCTGTAGGTAATTCAGCAAAATCACCGCATGCTCTCCTTTTCTCATCAATATAATTCCTAATGATGCCATGTGGGCGGGATACTCCCCATAGCTTGCTGGGCTCTCCAAGCGGGGAAGAGGAATTGAACCTGGGTTGGCTGGGTTGGCTGCGTCCCAGCCAAATTCCCTACTGCACTTTGCTATTGCTCCAGACCTCAAATCCTTACCCTTCAGAAAAAGAGCTTTGTCATAGTGACATAATGCTAATTTGAATTTTGGAAAATTTTCAAGTAAATATTTAAGATCAATATGTATAATTCATAATAAAGTATAACTATTCTAATATAAAAATGGAAACATTATTTTATCTAACAATATCTGATCTGTATTAATTCAGATAATTCACTTTTTACTCATAAGAATACAAATATAAAAATAGAATGACAAATTTTAATTGTAATATTAATATATTTGTTCATAAAGATATAAGTTTGTAGCATAAAAGTACATAGCTGCATGTGAGGGATATCACCAAAATATATTTCTATTTAATTTTGGGTGACACACGTGTCTGTGCTCACAGTTTACTCCTGGCTCTGTGTCTAAGGGTCAGTTCTGGAAGCGCAGGCAGAGCAGTAGATCATGAAGCTTTGTAATGATTTCTGTGAAAATAGAGGTGTAGATTCCTCATCATTTGCCTGGTGGTTTTGTTCTGCTTTGTTTTTGCCTTGCGTCTGCTAAACTTCTGTATTATCACCAAGGCCTTGTTTAATAATTTTGTTCTGTTTTTTTTCACCCATTATCCCTTTCTCCTTCTCTCTTCCATGTCTTGTTCTTGGATTATGTTCAAAAACTTACTGAATAGAGTCAAGAATAAAACAGAAATTAAGTCTATAAGAAGGACAGAGGAGTTGGACTTGATAGTACAGAATAGTACAGTGGGTAAGCAATTAATGACTCAAAAAAATTTTGGGATAAATCTCTTGAATCTTAATATTCTGTAACATAAAAATTTTAAAATAAAATCTATCTCTTTAGTCAACCTGTAGGTAATTCAGCAAAATTACTACATGCTCTCCTTTTCTTATCAATATAATTCCTAATGAATCTTGATGTAATGCATCTTTCCTGCAATTCTCAGGTGATCTATGAATAAAGATGTGCTTTTTTTTCAGATCAAATTCATTAAGTGTATAGCTACTATATCATAGGGAACTGGTCTCATAACAAAGAAAAATTATGAAGTTTATGTCCATACTCCTCTTTTGTAAACTGTTATTTATGAAAAGCAGAAGTGGTGTGTTTATGTTTATTTTATTGGACATTTGATAGATCCTGAATTTTTAACCATCTGAAAGATTAAGAATCAATCTGAAAGATAAAAGTTTCTCAATTCATATGACAAAATCTTAAAGATTCAGGTATCTATGAGAACAGTATCACAGACACTAAGTTGTTAAAGAAAGAAAACGGAATCAAATTACTACAGATCATTGGGAGTGGATTATCGGAAAACTATCATTGTTATTGAGTAAAAATAATTTAGCATCTTCGTGGAGAGGGAAGAACTGAGAGAGCCATACATTTATGGTCATCATCCAGTGTTTAAGAGAAAAAAGGTACAATCAATGGTTTATGTGACTCCTATTGAGCAGTACTTCATATTTATTTGTTTGTGAGCCACACCTGGGGGTGCTCAGTGGTTATTCCTGACTCTTGACTCAGGAATTACTTCTGAGGTTGCTCGGGAATCATGTGGGATGCCAAAAATCGAACACATATCAGGAACACGCAAAGAAAATGCCCTACCCACTGTATTCCCACTCCAGCCTCCCAACACTATTTTTATTCTGAACATAATAACTAAATTTTGACATGTTGAAATTATAAAAATGTCATAATCTAGAAAAAATTCAGATGCATTTACATTAAAAATCATTTTTAACTACCAAGCACAAGTAAAATTTTAAGTCAAAATAATAAATTAAAGTTGCCAATGACTTAATATTTAACTGCAAATAAATTTTTCATAAGAATTTATAATTGTAAACTGTTGTATCACAATGATCTGGTTTTCACTTTTTTCTACTTTATCTTAAGCTTTAAATTTAATTTTTAAATTTACTGCCCTTCTTTCTAAGTATTACATTTTATAATCGATATGCCAGACACAGTAACAACAAAGTCTCCAATGGAGACGTTACTGGGCCCGCTCGAGCAAATCGATGATCAACGGGAGGGCCTTTACTTTACTTTTACTTTACATTTTATAAATATATAAGATAAAACAAAGTTCTAATTGATAGTTCTTTTGATAAAAATATGCTGGGTTCACTTAACTTCTTTGCTGTGTTTCCTCAAAGTTATCTGATGAGATCTTAATACAACCATGAGAACATTTACGTATATATAATAAATTCTTTATTTTTAAAAAACAAAAATTTGTTTGTTAAATATTTTATTGAGTATGAAAAATATTTTCTCTTACCTGTGAAAATAAACTGCTCACTTAATTGCGGTATACTAAAAAGATTATGCTGTTGGATTTATATTATCTTCTTGAATTCTTTAAAGATCACAACATGGCCCCAAGAGGAAA